TAATGTCCCTACTCCTCCCAAAATCTAGCAGAACCCAATGGGGCCTTCAAGTGGGAGGGAGGAAGAAACAGACAAAGAACAATGCTTCTCTGCTGCCTCATCAATAAAATGGGGAGAACAGCAATTTAACTACTTCAAGAATGTAGGAGGCGGGGCCACTTGGTCCACTGATGTCAGTTCCAACTTTATTGTTTGTGAGCTTCTGATGAATTCAGTCTTGGAGAAGGGGAAGGCCAGATCCGAGAGGCTACTCTAAATCTCTAGCTACTCAGCAGGCTTTTAGAACCACTGCAAGGTGGACATAAGGAGTCACGAATGCCATTTCAGATACTAGCTGTGTGAAAGTCACGGAACCTCCATTTTACCTTCCTCATCTCTAAAATAGAGATAAGAGAACCAAATTAAATAATATATGTCATCATCTCAAAATCTCAAAAGCACTGTATAAATGTTGGTCAGAGAGTCAATATGCATATATTAAAGCATTATTATAGGGCTGGGGATTACAACAATGAAATAAAATAAACTACAACCAGCCCCTCAAGGAGTTCACATTCTAATGGGGGAGATAAAATGTAAATAACTCGTTACACATAAGATATATACAGAATAGCTGGAAGGTAATCTCTGAAGGGAAGTCACTAGAAGCTAAGAAAATCTGAAAAGGCCTTATGCGGAGGGAAGGACTTGAGCTGAATGTTAAGGAAGCCAAGGAAAGTGCAGAGGAGAGGAGAGGGTATTCTAGGCACAGGGGACAGCATGGAGATGGGTGATGGAGTGATATGTTTGCAGACTAACAAGGTCAGTACAGCTGGATCACAGAGTGCATGGAGGGGAGTAAAGTGTAAAAAGACTAGAAAGATAGAAAGGGGCCAGGTTATAGAGAGCTTGAAATGCCAAAGAATTTTATATTTGATCCTAGATGTTACAGGAAACCACTGGAGTTTATTGAGTAGGAAAGTGACAAGGTGGGACCTAAATTTTAGGGAAAAAAATCAGTTTGGGGCACTTGAGTGGAGGATGGATTGAAGTGGAGAGATACTGGAAGCATGGAGACCAATTAGAAGGATATAGCTTTTAATTGCCAAATCTAATAAATAGCCTTTTCTAGTATCTGTCCTTTGTGACTTCCCTGTAGCCTTTGACACAATGACGCTTTTCTCTTTGATACTTTCTCCTCTCTGATTTTTTTTCTCTCTTCTGTTTTTCTTCCTACCTGTCTGATCATTTCTTCTGTCTTTACTGGATCATCATTCAGATTATACTTGTTTACGACAGGTGTTTCACAGGGCTCTATCCTGGGGTCTCTTTTCTTCTCCCTTTCTGTTACTTCACTTGGTGATCTCATCAGCTCCCATGGATTCAATTATCATCTCTAAACAAATAATTCTCAAATCTACTTATGTAGCCCTACCCTCTCTTCTGACCTTTAGTCTCGTATCTCCAGCTGCCTATTAGACATCTCATACTGAATGCTCCCTGTACATCTTATATTCAACATGACCAAAGTAGAATTCTTTATCTTTTCCTTAAAATCCTCCCTTCTTCCTAATTTCTCTGTTGAGGGCACTACCACACTTCCAAGCTAACAACCTGGTGTTATCCTCAATTCTTCACTCTTTCTTGCCTTCCATCCAATCAGTTGCCATGTATATTTGTTTCTATCTATGCAACATCTTTCTTATAAAGTTATCCCTTCCACATCTCAGGGATTAGGGGTGTGGCACCCTGTGATCTAGAAAATCCACATAAAAATTTTTGACCCTCCTTTGTACCAGAAAGAGAAGTCTGAACTTTTTATTTTTTTCTACTTCATTGTAAAATTTGGGTTAACATTTGGTCATTCTCTCTGTGTCATCTGCTGGCCTTTGTGTGTTGTCTGCAGCTTCTGCTAAACTGCCCAAAAATTCCCATTTAATTTTCTTACACTGAAACCACAATGGGGAAAGTCACAATGTGGAAGAGATAACTGCATACTCCTTCTGTCCTCTGACATTGCCACATTCCTTATCACATCATGCCTGGACTACCATGATTGGTCTTCTGATCCTTCTGATTGGTCTCCCTGCCTCTGTCTCTCATACTCCAGGCAAACCTCCACTCAGATATCAAATTGATCTTCCTAAAGTTCAAGTATGACAATGCCACCCACCCCTCCTCCAACTCAATAAAGGCCAGTGGCTGGAACTCTCTTCTTCTCTCCACCTCTTGGCTTCCATCACATCCTTCAAACCTCGGCTGAAGTCCCATTTCTGCAAGAAACTTTTCTCAGTCCTTTAATTTTGATGCCTTTCCTCTGATATTATCTCCAGTTTATCCTACATTTATATCTCATTTGTACATAGTTTTTTGCATGTTGTCACCCCCATTAGACAGTGGACACTGAGAGCCAGGACTTTTTTTTGTCTTTTTTGTATCACCAGGGCTTAGCACAGGAACTGGCACACAGTAAATGCTTGTTGACTGGACTTAGTGAGGCTATTATTATTAATGATAATACTTTATTATTGTTGATTTATTCATTGAATAAGCATTTATCAAATATCTACTACATACAGCACATCATACTATGTGCTCACCTACTGTATGATCAGCCCAGGCAGAGATAGAAAGTTTAGGTAAAATGTACTCATTATCCTGACTTTATGGATTCTACAGCATAGCAAGGAGATAAGATGCATGCAGACAAGTATCAAACAAACAATGAGAGGGAATAGGCCCAAGAGAGGTACCAGGTACTGTGTGAGATTTTGGGGGAATGGTCATGACAGAGGAGGGGAATCAAAGTAAGCTTCATGAAGGATGTGGCATTTCAGTTATCCTCTTCTTATTTTTTGTTCAGTCCTTTCAGTCATGCCCAACTCTCAGTGACCCCATTTGGAGTTTTCATGGCAAAAATTTTGCAGTGTCTTACCAGATCATTTTACAGATAAGGAAACTGAGGCAAACAAGGTTAAGTGACTTCCCCAGGGTCACCCAGGTAGTAAGCCTCTGGGTAGACCCTGGGAAAGCCATGGTACCTTCAGGCGTTCTCCAGAAAAAATCACCTGGAAGTAGAATGAGGAAGGGACAATAAAGGGACAAGATACCACAAAACCACATTTGAAACCAACTACCAGACAAGAATTCTTATTCTAAATGCAATTCTAGGAATAGAAAAAATTCAAAGAGTCTCAGTTGAATGGTTCAGAGAAAATCCCAAACCAACTGTCCAAATCTGCCCTGGATAAGCCTGATGTCCACCTGACCTAAAATTCAATTCCAGGAAAAAAAAATATTCCATGTACATTTGAATCTTGGCAATGAAGTGTGAGAAATGTAATTCCAGAACTCAAATAATGCTACTTTAACTATTTCAGTTTATTTTCAAAGTATTTTTCTTATCCTAGTATAATGAATGTGTCAAGCAACACTTTTTTGCCCACATCAGTAAGGAAGGAAGGAATACAAGCAATAAGTTTCTAGAACAGTCTAAGGTAAGCAGAAGTATGTTCTCCATGAGGCATTCAACAGTCATGTATCAACTCCACTTAAGTTATTAGGTGTTCTTAATCTGAGGTCCATGAATTTGGGTTGCTTTTTTTTGTTGTTTTACAAATATATTTCAATATAACTGGTTTCTTTTGTAATCCCATATAATTTGTTTTATGTATTTAAAAACATTATTCTGAAAAGGGGTCCATAAGCTTCACCAGACTGCTAAAGAGGGAGATCCAGACCACAAAAAAAGGCTAATAACCCCTGCATTATAGCTGAGGAAATCATGCTTCACCCACTAGACTATATGGGCTGTTTCTGTATTATCTGGTGAAAGTACATCAATTGTTAAAACTTGGGACCTAGATAGATGTTTTCCATGTAGGTAAAATAGGTGATTAGGTCATATGTGGCCTTCTTTCCAATCATGTTATTCCTTTGACATCTCAGTATGGCAAGCACCAAATGAAACCAATAGGCCTTGTTTAGTACAAAAAATGTGAAGGTACTGCTGCTTAATTTGGCTGATAGCAGACTCAATAACTCCAGATAAATTGTTCAGGTGATTTTTCAGTCAGCTAGTTTTATTGGTCAATAGTACTTGTTAAGACCTTATTCTAGAACACAATATATTAAACCTAATCCCCAAGATATTTTTTTTAGAATTCTTTCACAGAACTTCAGAATCAGAATGGATCTTAGATATCACTTATTCCAATCCCTTCATAAAGAAATAAGTCCCAGAGAAGGAAAGGGATTGATTCATAGTGAATTAGTGACTGAGCCAGACCTAGAACTCATGTCTTCTGACTCAGTCCAGTAACCTTGTACACAGGGTACCCCTTTCTATCCTTCCAAAAGCCTCAGAAGGATTTTGTCTATTCGTTTTATAGATTTGAAACTGAAAGGGCCCTTAGAGAATATTTAGCCAACCCCTCTCATTTTTCAGCTGAGGATACTGAGACTCAGAGAGGTTCAGTGATTTACCCAAGATCACACAGATACTAAAGTAACAGAGGTGGGATTAAAACCCAGGTCCTCTTACTCCATATACAAGACTGTTTCTCACTATTCCAATCTACCTTTTAAGAGAGAGATCCTACAAAGGGACAGACAACTATATACATAGAGATATATAGTTATAGCCACATACATCAAGATAGATAGCTATATACATACTTATAGCTATATACATAAATATAGATAGACATATAGATAGATAAAGGGGGGAGAGAGAGAGAGAGAGAGAGAGAGAGAGAGCCAATTTTTAACCATAGGCAATAATATTAGTAAAACTAATTCATTTCAGTTATAGGATAACAAAATATAGATAGATATAGATATAGATAGATATATAAAAGGAATCTCATTCTACCCCATCATTTTACAGATTAGGAAACTGGGACCCAGTGAGAGGAAATAACTTGCCCAAATCCAGCCTTCCTGACCCCCAAACAGATGTGGGCTTTCTGGGTAGGTAACTCTTTTAAGTGGAGAACACCGTGCAGAAATGACTCTCTGGAAGAAGAAAGCATTAGCTGAAGCACTAAGCTGCCACCACTGGTGACTATAAGTGAAACACAAGTCACTCCACACAGCTTCACACACAAAGAGAGCCGGGGGTGAGATTGCTTCCCACTCGCCTTCTGACATCAGACCCTTTCGATGTAGCTCACCGGACAACGAGCAAAATCCTTGGCAAGAAAATGAATCTCTTTCTCCCATCACCTGCTGTCTTTCACTTCACGCCCCCAGAGAGGTCTTTCTTCATTCGACAAACAGTGAAGATTTTTTTTCCAGTCACATGATCCAGGATGAAGGGGGAAAATCCTACTTGGAACAGACATGGCCTGTGAGTCTCAACAGATCAAGGGCGATAAGGTGTGAGGTGGAGGGGGGTGGTATATAAAGAATGTCTTCTGTACCACGGCAAACGTCCCTCCACCAACTGAATGCTTCTCTTGGGGCAGCCATGAATGTGTCTGAAGGCACAGTCACAAGCCACCTCAGGGCCACTAGCCGGACTTATTTTTATTTCACCACAGCTACCCTGGTTCTGTGCCTCATCTTTACTCTGGCGACTATAATGGTCTTAGTAGTTCAGAAGAAGGTAAGTCAATGGCATCCTCTCCCCCTTCCTGTCTTAACTTTTGTTTTGTTTTGTTTTGCTTTGTTCTTCCTGGAGGTATTCTTTGAAAAACCCAATAAATTATTTGAGATAAACAGTAACAACTCAGAGAGAAAAGAGGAACCAGACTCTGGCTAAATCATTTGTTTGGCATGGCCACACTTTTTCGGGTAGTTCCTCAAATGTTTCAGAGAGTTAGGGGAAAGAAGCCCACAGACAACAAGAAATGCATGGTGGAAGTCAGGTTGTCAGTAAGCTTTTAAAAAAAAAAGCTCCCAACATAGAACTCACATCATGGCAGGAAGCTATGAGCGCAGTCAACATGATATCATAATCATACACTTGTCTTCTGTTCCAAAGACATGGCCCTCAGTTTCAAAATAAGTCGCATTTAAATGTTCCAAATGGTAAATCCAAAAGTTGATTCCTCTCTAAGAATGTAAGCTCCAAGAATGCATGGTCGGGGCAAGAATACCAATTACTCCCATTTCTCTGTCATGTTAAGGTATTTTCTTCACAATAACTCTGTGACAGAGTCAGTACAGATACTAGAGTTTTTCCCTTATTTTATTGACAAGAACCTGTAAGACAGAGAAGTAAGATGCTCATGGTCACATTCATAGGGAAGACAGGCAAAGACACCCCTGGGAGCTGAGGTGGACAAAAGGCTTTACATGAATGTTTCGATGTTGGACCATCCTAGTGTGAGAAGGGCTATCTCGAATGCTCACTTTGAGGCCCATCCTTGAAAGCTCCTCCATTCTCCCTACCACACCCATCCCTCTCCCCCAAAAAAGTGCTTCTTAACAACAAAGTAGATGGAATGTTCCCTCAAGACTTCCTCAAAAAACATGACAATTATCAATGGCAGTAGTGGAAGTTGTACTATGTACTAGTAGCAGTACTATGCAATTTGGGGGCTCAAATGACCTTGACATAATGACCTGAGTTTCCCTCTACTTAGAACAGAGAATGTGTGAGCCAGAAAAATTATTAAAATATGGAATGTTCAAACCTTGAAACACTCAGGCTGGAAAAGACTTTAAAGATTACCCGGTTCAATCTCCTTATTTTACAAATTAGGAAACTGAGGGTCAGATACTAAAAGTAACTTGCCCAAGGGTCAAATCACTTATTCATGTGAAAGTCAGGATTATAACAAGGATCTCTTAACTCTAAGTACAGAGCTCTTCTGATTTCATTTCAATCAAAGGCACTGAGGCTCCTACATTTAGCAACTAGGTAAGCACAGACAAATAATTTAGTCTCTTGGAGCCTCAGTCTTCTCATCTATAAAATAGGAATCACAGACTCTCAAAATAAGAGAAGATCTTAGGGGTTATCAAGTCCCATGCATATTTAAAGAGAAATCCCCTTTAGGGAGAAGAAATATGTGCCTTACCTACCTCACAGGACTTTGAGGAAAGGGCTTTGTTAACCCTAGGATGCTACATAATTGTGGTCTACCACTCCCACCACAACTACTATTATTATGGAATTACAAACTCCACAGCATTTAATAAGCTCCTACTATGTGTCAGAACACATTGCTCTAGTAAGTGAAATAACAAAAGTAAAAGTTAAGCAGTCCTTGTTCTAGAGAAGTATACAGTCTAGCAGGGAAAGATAACATGTATAAATATTGCTATCTACAAAAATGATTTGGGGGGAGGGCACTAACCACTAAAGTAGGGGCCAAACATTATTAATAACAGAGGAAAAAGTTACGAACTATGAGTTCAAAGCATGATTCTTGTAAAAGAATCTTCCAAAGTACTTTTCATTAGTATTGATAAAACTAAAATCAAAGCAAACCACAGCATGGTCATCATTACGTGCTTCATAGGTCATTATTTTAGAATGCGTTAAGGTAATTCTGGTTTTATGAAATGTTCTTGTTTTACTGAGCAGAACATGATACACAAATGGCCAGATAGTCCATTACCATCCAGGACAAAGGACTGAAAGTTTCTTAAAAATCAACTGCCTGTGGCCAAACCTCATTGTCAGTCTTTGGGAGTCAGGAGCCCAAGCTAGATGTAAAAACTCATTTCAAAAACACAAGCAAACAAAAAGGGACAACTAGGTGGCTCAGTGGATAGAGCACTGGCCCTGGATTCAGGAGGACCTGAGTTCAAATCCAGCCTCAGACACATAACACTTACTAGCTGTGTGACCCTGGGCAAGTCACTTAACCCCATTGCCTAGCCAAAAACAACAACAAAAAAACCTCATTTCAAGTATTGATTTTAATGTATCTGGCTTGGTTAAAGGTGGTAGCAAATCCCAAATAAAGTTAGATTCCAATCTGTGAGGAAATGACACATTATTTTTTACTTTGAAAGCAGCTTTCTCTGTATTGAGGATTTCAAAATACTCTAAATAGGTTATTGATCAATTGTGAAATAATTAATATCTATTCTCACACATCAATGGCCATAGCAAAACAAAAAAAAAATGAAGCAGCCCTTAAGTAGCTTTTTTTTGCATAGATTATATGCAATATAATAGGTGGTAATATTTTACTAATGGGCCCAGATGTTATATCACAATAACAATGTAAATAAGTAGGCAGTTGTTGAGAGAGATATTTTAACTAGGGATATATATATCCAAATGGGACAATGCCCTCAAATGTCCTAATGTGGCTTCATTCTTAAGCCATTGCCACTATATGTGCTTTCTACTTGGAAGTATAAATGGATTAGAAAAGCTGATTACATGACTGGGCACATTTTTATTTCCTTCCCAGAGAAGTTTCACCTGCTTAGGCTGAAGGACTTTTAGATGGACAACACAATAAGGCCATGCCAGACTTGAAAGTCTTATTCAGGTGCTTACAGACTAACTGAAAAAATAGGTCATGCACACACCTCCTAACAATACAGATCATGTATATAGGTAACAATACCCTCAGTAATGTATGCAGGGAGTCAAATTTGCAATACCAATTTCTTGAGTGGTTCAGAGGAAGGAGAAATCTGCAAAATGAGCTAGAGAGGTCAGGAAAAGCTACAAAGAGGAATTAAAACTTGAAATGGTAGTATTTGAATAAGCTTTCAAAAATGTAGTCATGGATAATTAGGTAATTAAATAATGTATTAAATAATGTATTACAAGGGAAAGAACATCTATGAAAGAAATGTATAAAAATATTTTCTAAAATAAACTGGACCTATAGTGTTAAAATCTATTGTACTGTATTCTCCCCATTGAGGAAGAGGCTTAGATAGAGAGAAGACTATCCAGGTAGACATTTTATTTTGCCCTTAGGGACTGGTGGTCCAGCAACATAATCCTTTCAATACACCTACCTGTGAATCTACTTTAAGAGCAGAGCTAACCTCAGCTTGACTCCAACCCAATCCATCCTCAATCTAATTTTATGTCCTTATTAAACAATATAACAAGGATGAGGAATAGACTTCATGAATTAGGACCCAAAAGCTGCTTAGTGTGTCCTGAGCTGCTATCAACAACTAACCACCTATTTCCTGATCCATGGATGGGTTCGGGGAGGGGGACATATGACAGGAAAAGACTATTCATTTTCAATAAGTATGACTTATTTGCAAGAGAAAAGAGGGGGGAAGGAGGGGGAAGGAAGGTGAAGAGAGAGAGAAAGAGAGAGAAGAGAAGAGAAGAGAAGAGAAGAGAAGAGAAGAGAAGAGAAGAGAAGAGAAGAGAAGAGAAGAGAAGAGAAGAGAAGAGAAGAGAAGAGAAGAGAAGAGAAGAGAAGAGAAGAGAAGAGAAGAGAAGAGAAGAGAAGAGAAGAGGGGACCCAAGCAAATGGGAAGAGGATGAGAGAGAGATTGTCAGAGGCAGAGATATTGACCCAGAGAAAGAAATTGCTATAAACAGGAAGTTTGACCTGGAGGAAAAAAAGAAATATTGACAGAAGAGGAAAAAGCCAGAGCAATTAATATCAAAAGACTGAGAAAGAAACCAATTTCCTGATGAGGGAGACAGAGTAGGGATAAAATACAGCATTTGAAGGAAGGAAACAATCATAAATCTGGAGTCCTGAGTTGAAATTATAATAGTTCTCATTTGTACAGAACTTTAAAGTTTACAAAGCACTTTCCTCAGGACAACACCATGAGGCAGGCAGTGTACAGTATAAGTATTCTTATTCCTATTTTGTAGGTGAGGAAACTGAGTCTCAAGAAGTTTAAATGGTTTACTCAGGGTCACACAGTATTTTCAGACCCAGGCTTCCCAAAGCCCAACTCCACTCTTTTCTCCTAACGTAGTGAGTAAGCTGTCTCTTCCCTTCTCTGGGCCTCAGCTTCCTCCTCTGAAAAATAAAGGGATGGGCTAGAAGGTCTCTAAGGACACTGCCAAAGTTATCAATATACTTCTCTCAATCGTCCCGAACCTTACTTGAATGGAGTGAAGAATGGACAACAGTCAATTAGCTGCTGGCAGGGGGAACGCAGCCCTTACCTTGGATAGTACATACTAGGGCCATGGCTGGAGCAGGGGAAGCCCACTGCTACATGGTTCCTAGGGTACCCTTTGAGATGTCATAATACACTAAAGAACTGTATTGTCTCCTATAAATGCAACTGGGCTCTTCCTATACTTGCTCCATGGCCTGTCCTTTGGGTGAGAGGAAGGAAGTATGTATGCAAAAGTATTATTAGCAAAAAAGGAGAAGGGCAAGCAAGTAGAGGGATATTGATTTTCTTATTTGCATTTGTAATGGGTTTTCAATGCTGATTTTAAACAATTTTGTTTGTTTGTTTTTTGTATAATCCAGTTAGCACTTTCTCTAACAAAACTAATTCAAGTCATTCTGGTCACAGAGGGCTGAATCCATTTATCACAGAGATCCCAAACTGTCTAACAATAACAATAATTGTTGCCCTGCTTCCAGAGCTCTTTCCTTTGTATCACACTTTTGCAATATTTTTCAGTAACACTAACTATACCCCACAAAGAGTAAGCATCAACCTTTAGGACACGGGTTCCAAACACAA